GGCCCCGGCCTGCCCGCCGCTCCGCTCCCTGCGAACGCCGGCTCTGCGACCGCGCCCTCTCCCGCCGCCCTGGGCGCCTTCTCGGACGTGCTGGTCCGCTGCGAGGTGTCCCGCGTGCTGCTGCTGCTGCTCCTGCAGCCCCCGCCCGCCAAGCTCCTCCCCGAGCATGCCCACACCCTGGAGAAGTACTCCTGGGAGGCTTTCGACAGCCACGGGCAGGAGAGCAGCGGCCAGCTTCCCGAGGAGCTCTTCCTGCTGCTCCAGTCCTTGGTCATGGCTACCCACGAGAAGGACACGGAAGCTGTCAAGTCGCTGCAGGTGGAGATGTGGCCCCTGTTGAGTGCCGAGCAGAACCACCTCCTTCACCTCCTTCTGCAAGAAACCGTCTCCCCCTCAGGAGAGGGAATCTGAAGAAGCCTGTTAACCGAGTGACTCCTCTTTGCCTGTTACCCAACCTCACGCATCCGCCTTTGCGTTTGGAGGGAAGTAAAAGACGTGGATCGCAGCGGTCGGCCTTTGTTTGCGTATTCCTCTTGCCACCACAGGAATTGACTGCAAGTTACCTGCCTCCCGAAGACTTCTTTCCACAATAGGAGTAGGGAAGAAAAAACCCCAACAAAACCAATATGCTAGGATCAGAGTGGGGGACTTAGCCCTCTTCCCCAAAACTGCACCATAAAAATGACAATCCTTTTAGCCCTTTCCTCTTCCAGCCAACTCGCCCCGTCCCGCCCCATCTTTGTTTCAGTCTGGATCTTATTTTGCACAGCTCTGTTGAAATACTTAAGCTATGTGGTGTTTTTATCGTGACTCATTTCTTGGCATAGTCTATATCTATGTGATCGCCCAGTTTCTCCTTTGTTTTACACACCACCCCCCCCCCAACGTATCTGTGGGAACGATTGTGTACATTGCTGTTGTCGCTATAGCCTTTAAGTCCACGATAAAGCCATTCCAATACTACACACTTGTGGTTTAGATTTACTTCATCTATAAAATGGGAATAATTTACATGTCAGGAGGCAGAAAGCACAAACAGATACTTCTCTATCAGTTCCAAGATGTATGCATTCAATTGAAATTGACAGCGTGCCTAGTATGTGGGCTGCGGACCACGCCAGACAGTGAGTGTATGAGATAATCTGCGACGTGGTCCTTACTCAGGTTGCTGCCATGCAAATGTGTCCCGTGCAAGGGCGGGTTGGGAGGGGTGGAGAGGAAGCGGGGTCCAACGCTGATGTGTCATGTGTGCATTGGAATTCACATTTCCGATTTTATCCTGGGATGGACCTGTTATCCACGGGACCTCTTGCTGTAGGAGGGGTCTCCCTGCAACTCTTACTTGAATAGGTCTTTTGGTCCAAATGTTACATGCAAAGCGACTTAGCTTCTTTTTTTTTAAATTCAGTCTTATTTTCCTTACAGTTTCAAGAGTGATAACAAGATCTCTGCACAGTATAATCTTGTTCTCATTCAGCTTTGGGACAATGCATGATTTAGGCTGAATTGTATGCAGTACTGATATTTTGGGGTGAGATTTAAGGACACAGTTTGGGGGTAGATTTTTATTTTGCATTTTTGGGGGTATGGGGATGGTTGTCACTATGAGTCAAGTGCCTCAAAATGGATGGGACCTTTGGGGTATGCTTTTCTACTTCTATTTCAACAGCGTGGAAGCAATAGGTAAGGAACTACAGGATACGCCCATTGGAGACAGATTGAGCCACCATTCCTGCGCTCTCACTTGGCTGCCAGGAAGGTTCCCTTGGAGTCCTAAACGCCCAGTGCAGTTAATTGCAAAAGTGGTAAGGGTGCGCGCTCCACGCGGGCTTCTGCTTGTTCAGGTACAGTCTTCTCAACAGGGTGCAGGCCTGGCTGGCTGCCTTCCTGTCTTCTGACAGGGATGCTTAGGAGTTCTGTAGTGTGAATGCTGATAGCATTTGGATTTCGGCTTAAGAAGAATCCTCCTTAGGCCTCTGGTCTACGCTCCTTGCATTGAGGAGGTGGGGGGAGGGATTCCCGGAGAGCCAGTTATTGGGTATACAAGAACAGTTTTAGGAAACACTAAAGCGTGTTTTCCTTTTGATATTGGCTTGTTTATGTATGCCTCTCAGAAATTTCATAGCACAGATAGCTGGATCAAGGCCAGATTTCAGCGATGTTGACAGTTCTCTTGCTACATATCAACTTACAATCAAAATTCACACTGATTTCTAATATGACCAAAGATAAATATTATGATCAGTGTTCTTTTTAAATTGAAAACAAGAGGGAAAGATCTGCATGATACAAATGTTCATTGACAAGTCAAAATTATTCAAAATATAAACTTGAAATGGTAGCAGTGAAGCACTGATCCTTCAAGAGTGGTTGGGTTCCCCTTCCCCCCTTTATGAGGGACTTTTATGATGAGCAATATTGCTTATGAAAAATAGTTTGTATGTGAATGGAACTAGGATATAAAAAGATTTGAGAACTACACTGGAGAAAGGTTACTAAGACTGAAATGTATAAATTAGGCAGGCTGTGGGAAGTGTTCTGTTTAATGTTAACTGCCTTTTTTTTATCTCTACTTCCATTTGACTAGATCACCAGCTCACAAACTTTTTCTGTGAAGGACCAGATAAAAATAGTTTCTTGGTGCCACAAATGCTCTCTGTCACATAGTTGCCTTTGTTCTGGCAACTTAAAACATGTAAAAAACGTTCTTAACTCAGTCCACACAAAAGTAGGTTGTAGTCCAAATCCATGGACTCTAGTTTCCCATCCCTTTGCCTGAACCTAGAGCAGGGGTCGGCAAACTTGAGACGGAAGAGCCCCCAGGGGTCAGCAAACCGGCTAGCGAGCCACATGTGGCTTTTTGGGTACATACATGTGGCTCTGAAGTAAAATTGAAAATGAAAATAAAACTATTATAAAAATTTAAAGGATATTATTCACGTGATGGTGATTATATAAAAATATATTTATGGCTCTCGATTAATTTTTAAATTGTTGTGAGGGACAGGATTGGCTCTTCTGTCTCAAAAGTTTGCTGATCCCTGGAATAGACAAATACTAGCTAACTTTGATATGATAAAGGGGAAAAAGAGATATATGTGTGTATGTAAGTACAAAGATATAACGTGGGAAAGGAGCTAGACCTCTATTGTACACGTTTACAGCGATTAACTGCAGGTAACAGAAAATGAGAATACTAATAGTATCTACCACTAAATAAGGCACAAGGCTTAAGTGGCTTTTCCACCTATAACTTTCATTAAATACGTGACTACTACATTAATTAAACTATTTTAGAGCAATCGTTTAATGGAAAAAGAAGCTTTTCCATTTTATTTTAAAGTTTAGTATAATTCTCATGCTAAAACCTGATAGCCCCCCTGAAAATGGTAAACCAGTTTTATTGATTAGATAGAAAAGTTCTAAATACAATGCTAGCAAATGGGATCCAGGTAAGTTTTAAATGATCCATGCCCTGAGGGCAGTTTTCCCAGGAATAGAGCACAGTGTTGTGTGGGATCAGGCTAGTACTGGCTTGTGAGCCAGTTGTTCCAAACTGCATTCAGTGACATTACACCAGCAGGTTGAAATCGGGTATGATGGGAGTAATTACATCACAGAAATGAGCAAACGTTACAAATCAAGGCCTTTCCCCCTCACTGCCCCCCATTTTGCCCCAGAGCTAGTTGTTAAATGTTCGCCAGCACACTGTTGAATGTAAGTGTAATCTGACAATAGGAAAGAAGAAATGGGATGCTTAAAAAAGCATTTGATGAAATTCTGCAGCCATTCCAAATACATTAAGACTAGAAGGAAACTTGAAACGTGATAAAATGTATTTGTTTGAAACTAACAGTGAACATTATATTAAACCGTGAAATACGGATCCAGCCCCATTAAGGTCAGGAACAAGATAGGCTTATTTGTTTCATTAATATATGTATACATATATGTACATATATATGTCTTATGTATATGTTATGTGTTATATATACATATATATATATTTGCGTATGTGACTGTGTGTCTGTATATGTATGTTAATTTATTAATCATAAAAACATTTAGAAGGATTGCAATTTCCTGTTTACCAGGCCCTGTCGCCATAATGTCATCAATATAATGGACCAGTATGGTGTTTTGTTGGATGTCAAGATGTTTGGAGTTCCTTGGGTCTATATTAGGACAAAGAATAAGGAAGCTGGCATCATCCTGAGGTATGAACAGTAAAATTAATACCCTCATCCCTACTTCATAAATGCAAATGTATTCCGATTTTGCTTGTCAATGGGAATGAAGAAAAAAAAAACATTTTCCAGGTCAATAGTTCTGTATCAAGTTCCTGGGTCTGTGTTAATTTGTTCCAGAGTAGATACCACATCTGGAATTGCAATTTTTTGTCATACCCCCTGATTAAATTTGTGATGATCTGTCATTTTACCAGGATTCATTTGTTTTTTGTAGTGGCCAAACAGGGGCCTTAGTAAACTATTCCAGGTGTAATCACTGAAAGACTTCTAGGCAGAGAAGCAATGACTGCTTCAGAGATTGGGGAAAGGCTGCCTTAGGCAAAGGAGGTTTAGGGGAAATTGGAGGTTTGCAGCTCTCAGCCTCATCCATGCTTGTACCCATCCCACGTGTCAGAGTTCTACTCCTTTCCAGCAGTGCCCTCACCCTAGCATAACAGACCCGGTGGGGTTGAGCATTTAATTGTCTCTGCAACTTTGCAATTCATATGCTCAGCCCTTAGACTTGGTCTGAAGTCCAAATATCTTCCTACAACCACAGGATATGAAAGACCTCTCCAGAGCTCCATGGATGTGTCCTGATTCTCCATGTTCGTTCATGGGTGCTGTTCTTTGTGTATATTTATAACATTTCATTTCCTTTCCCCCTATGTATGCCATAAAAGAAGGCCCATAAAAAGAAGACAAGACACTCTACGTAGAGTCACGTGACACTACTGTTGTTGCTGCAGCAACTAAATGCCACTGTCAATTTAATCTCCCAATGTCTTCCTCACCATTTGTAACTTATCGCATTGTATTACTGGCGGTAATGTGAGAAATTGTGATGCCACCACATGCCATGAATTATGCAACATCCAATCTTCTCCCCAAGGAAGGAAATGATACCTGTGTTCCTTGAATATATTAGCAACATAATCCTAGAATTCCATTTTGAGGGTCTTTCCTGGGGATATGTCTGGCCCCAATTACTGCATGAGACAGGGTTGCAACAAGAAACAGGGAACCCTCAAAGTAGGATAATTTGAGGAAAGTTTAATAAAGGTATAGGTTGGAAGGTGGGAGCAGGGTATTACCATTCCTAGGCCTGGAGGGATGAGAAGAGGGAGCAGAATCCTAAAGGAGAGAATTAGGTAGATTCTTGTAGTGGTTTAGAAAGTGACCACATATTCTTTTCATTCCTCCCATTGAGAAGTGGGGTCTATGTCCCTTCCCCTTGAATCTGGGTGGATGTGTGACTTGCTTATAACCAATAGAATGTATTAGAAGTGATGCTACGTGACTAAGAAGACTAGATCAAAAAAGGTGATGTGGTCTCCACCTTGTTAGCCGAATCACCACACTTAGCATCCCTAAGATGCCATGTAAAAAATCCAGCCACCTTGAGAATGTCATACTGTGAGAAGCCCAGGCCTCATGGGAAGGCCATGTAAAGTTACTTCAGTCAATAGCCTCAGATGCTGTCCTAGTTAGGTTAGTCAGCTACCAACCATCAGACATGCAAGTGAAGATGCTTCCAGATCATTCTATCCCTTCAGCTGTCCAGTCTTCCCAGCTGAGGCCCCAGATATTGTGGAACAGAGACAGGCCATCCCTGCTGTGCCCTGTTCAAAGTCCCGACCCACAGAATCCACAAACAAAACAAAATGGTTGATTTACGCCACTGAGCTTTGAGGTGGTTTGGCACTCAGCAATAGTAGTACCTGGAACAGGTAGAGAAAGCCACTTTGAGGGGAGCAGTGCCCTTCCATGGAGACGCCCAGCCACATCCTCTATAAGGAGGGAGCCAGGAGAATAAATAACCTGATCTTACTTTCCTCCCTTCTTCTGATTTCTTGCCAGTGATCCATGTTGGTGAAACCCAATGAAAAGCCAGAGGTTGAGGTAGCCTGTTAAGGTATTCCACACAGGTGAGTCTCAAAGAACGAGGAGAGGGTAGGGAAGCAGGAAAATGGGTCTAAGCTGGCAAACAAAAGTTATCTTGGGCTGGCTGAGTGGCGCATTGGTTAGGAGTTGGTTTGGGCCACAAGCTCTGAGCAGCAGGGCCCCTGTTCGGATCTCACATGAGGGCCAGTGACACTGCGCCCTCTACAGCTAAGATGGTGAACAACAGCTCGACCTGGAGCTGGGCTGCCATGAGTCGCCAGCAATGGCATAGGCTCCAGTGGAGCTGGTCGGCAGCGGGCGTGAGCTGCCATGAGCTGCCGTGAGCCGCTGTGAGCGGCCGTCCAATGGCTGGCGAGCGACTGCCTCACCTGGGAAGAGCAAAATAATAATACCAACATGGGCCAGTGAAGCGACGTCCTCCACAACTAGACTGAAGAACAAAAGGACAGCAACTTATCTGTTCCCCTTCCCTGATTCCCCAATTAAATCTTTAAAAAAAAGTTTTCTTGCACAGGATCACTTGAGGACTTTGAACTCTATTCTGAAGACAAGAGGGAGACATTGAAAGGTTTTAGGCAGGGGAATGATAAGATGATTATCCCAAAAATGTTGTACAGCTTGTATTAGTGAGAAGACTAAAGTAGAAGGCTAGTTAGGAGTGTAACATCATAGGTCAAGTGTGGGGTGGTGGGGCCTAAGGCTATAGTAGCAGGAATATAAAGGAAACGAGATGTGAGAGGCATGACAAAGAAAGAGTTGGCTGGATTTGTGGATCAGTTCATCAGGGAGCATAAAAATGAGGGCTGGGGTGGGGGGTGGGGGTGGCCGGTTTGCTCAGTTGGTTAGAGCACAGTACTCATGACACCAAGGTTGCTGTTTTGATCCCCACGCCCTCCACAACTAGATCGAAACAACTACTTGACTTGGAGGTGATGGGCCCTGGAAAAACACACTGTTCCCCCCCAAAAAAATATTTTAAAAAAAGTGAGGGCAGAGTAGATCATGATCCTAAGGTTTTAAATCTGTTCAATTAAGGGTTGTGAGCTCACCCCTAGAGAATTCATCATTTCCTAAGGTTTCACCCATCCCCCTGTGTGGAGGATGCAAATCTTCACCTCCATTCATAATTTTGCCCTCTAAACTAAATCCTTTCATCAACTGCCTGCTGGACATTCAACCTGATTGCCTGACTGTTACCTCAAACTCACAATGTTATCAATACACCCAGTCCTGAGTCACACATTTCTGGCAATAAAGCAGCTCTTCATTTCTATTATCTATGAGATCCTTGATAGTACCACATTTTGTCCATACATCCATCATCACAATCACTGCTATTACTCATAAGTGGAAAATTCTTTTTGGAGTTAAGGTTGTAGGTGCTAGGAGTGTTTGTCCCATATCTGAAATCTGTCAAAAGCCCTTTAAAAGATTCATGCATTCCCTTGAAAGGACTAATTACATACCATTAAGGTCCCAGTGGAATTCCCTTGATAACTCTGCCACTTCTTTCCATCAAGACTGTACATGATGATAAACTGAGAGATGTACAGGCTGGAAAACTTCTGACGGGCACCCTGGGTCATGATGCTGTGTATAATTGTTGGTACCAACAGATCCACCTGCCAATTAAAACAACGCATTATTTTCAATGAATGCACTAGCTTCTGAAATTTATTATTGGCTTAAGAAGAATCTGCATTGAGACGGATAATGCCCAGTATTACCTTGAATGTGCAGGGGAGGCAGACACCAGTGTTGAAATGTGGATGCGTGTCAAGCTATGGGGTATTTGATGGGACTGAGTAGGAAAGGTGCTTGCTGAGTTCCCAGCCCACCTCCTGGGAAACCAGAACATTTGGAAATCATTGAGCCCCCACTTCCTCTACACACATCCTCTGTGCTGCACATATGGACCCACATAACCTAGTGCTTTGCCCAACCTCCATCTAGCCAAAGCCAATTTCCTCCTCTCTCCCCATACCAACCCCATCCTATTATCGCTATCAGGGAGTGATAAACTGCTACCCCTCCTTCAAGTGTTAGGTCAGAAACAATTTATCCTGGTTAGCCTTTCCTGACTTACCCAGACAAGTGTAGTTCTGCTTCATCTATGCTTCCACTTTATTTTGTAGAATAACTTCATTCTAACAAATTATTGGACCATATTATAAAGGTTTCTTAGCTTATCTGCTTTCCTTATTAGACTGATATCCTTAAGGCAGTGAACCTGTTTGAGTCATCTAACCTCTCTGGGTCTCAACTTCTTTATCTATAAAGTGGAGATAATAATGGCATTTATCTCAAAGGGTTACCAGAAGGATTAAAGAGTTACTACATGTAATGTGCTGAGCTCAGTGCCTGGCACATATGTGTACTAGACAGTTAATAAGTGTTAGGTTTTATGGTCTCTCTAGCCCCAGCATCTAACATGGCATCCAGTATAACATTGATGCTTAGCAAATGTTTCGGAATGAATGAGTGAATTATGGCAGAGTGGTAGGGAATGGTTTGTTCTAAAGGAAGAGGGCATGGACCATGCAAGCGTTACAAGTGGGTACCCATTACTGGAATTTTGGTATCAGTCACTGCCCTAACAAGCAAGTCAGACTTCTCACAGATGCCTGGCACACTCCAACTGGACTGGTCATGACTTTTGTTTAGCGACTGTCTCCTTCAGTTGAATGTAAGTTCCAACTATCCAAACAATATATTTTTGCACTTATGTGCCAAGCACTGTTCTGGGTGCTGGGAATACAGTAGTGAATAATAATAAAAAAAAGAGCCCCGCCCTCATGGAATGTACCTTTGAGTTGCAGAAAAAGACTATATCATATATATGTTTTTATTTGTTTACAGCACCAAGCAGTGATAAGTACAGGAGAAAAAAAATGAAGCAGCGTAACAAGACAGATTGGAAAGGTCTCCAGAAGCTAAAGTGCTGTCTTTTCCCAAATTAGATGGAATTTCCAACTGAAGATACTTCATTTTTCCTCTTGGTATTGTGGCATAAACAACTGAAAGTACCAGGTACAAAAATCATGCCTTTTGTTGAATTGGCTTGTATTGTTTCTTCCTGTAGCACATGAAAAGTTGTTTTTGGACCACTGACTATTGTACCTTCTAGTAATTTTAATAAAGCCTGGCCAGTTGCCTTTTCCACCTACATTCTGTAATGGATGAATTCTTGGCAAACTGCCCATCTTATGTATTTCATCTTGTGCCTCCTCTGCATTATAATTAGAATATTGGAGCAATTTGGCAGTTATGGATTCAATATTCTCACCTATGTATCCAGCCAGGTATTTGAGTGTGACAGCAAGACACATCTGTACGAGGAAGTAAGTGAGGTGGTAATGGGTCACATAGTACACACATACAGACATCACAGCAGGACATCTCCATGGAGCCTGCCGACTGCCAGCTGCTGATTGTCTGGCCCTGGTCACCTGATGCCCCTCAAGCTGGCCCAATGCTCTGATGCCTGGTGGCCTGGCTGTTGTGCACTGGTCAGGCCTTCTCACTAGAATAGATGCCTCCCCAACTCCCCTTCCTGTCAACACCCCTCTCAACTCCAACTCCCTGTCTGCAGGCTCTCTGGAACCATTTCTTTATTCTGTAAAGTTACCAGATCAAGAAAATGTGTATCTGGACTTCAGTAGGACAGATGGCAGAAAACACCTTGAGGATAAGGCGCTATAATACATTAAATATAATAAAGTCAATTTGTAGCTGGTTCAATCACCATAAGCAAACAGTGGTAGTTAATAGACAGCTATCAACTTAAAGGGTGCATTCTAGAAATTATATGGTTTAATGATTATGAGTTCCAGGTTTGAATTTGGCTCAGCCACTTACTACTGGCTGTGTGACTTGGGGCACATTATTTAACTTTTCTGGGCTTCGACTTCCTTACCTGAAATGAGGATGCCAAAAACATCTACCTCATAAGGTTGTGGTGAGGACTTAACAGCTTGTGTTGTTTTAAGCGCATAGTAATGAAGCCCTGACCTGGCTACTTTAGTATTTTGATCGTGACTTTGCTAAAATATAAAAAAGTTTACTGATCAAGTCAGTAAAGTCTGTGAAACTGGGGAGAGTGGGAAATACTTTGGGAGACAGAATCTTGGCAAGCTGGAACAATGGGTCAAAACTAATAAGCGGGACCTAGGGTTCTTTGGCATGGAAAAGACACTGTATTTACTAGTCTCATCACATTGGATCCAGCGAGGAACATATATAACTCCCCAAATGGAAATGAGTATGCTATTCAGAAACAAAACAAAAAAACAAACAGAACAGATGCAGGGCAGCCAAATAGATTAAAATATCCACTACCCAGGAATACCTGTGAGGTTGAATAAAAGTGATAACCACAGAAGTGTAAGGTGAGAACATGTGGTTTGGCAGCCTCACAAACAAACTAACTAAATACTTAGGGATTAGTGAACAGTCCTCTCAAATTGAGTCATAATTGGCAGTGCCTAGAAAATGAACAAGAAAAGATGAGCTGATAGGGCTGTTTGGAAGCTGATGTGGCATTAACAGATTGCTCTTTGTGTCTGCTTACTGGTAAGCCAGCTTATTTTATCTGATTCCTGTTTATTATTTTAAACCTCAGGAAAATTAGAAGAACAGATGCAACCCCACAAAGGAGGAAACTGTGTCGGGGAATGGCCTCGGCCTACTAAGTAGAGGAAGCAGGGTGCTGGTGCACTGTGAGAAGTGGATAGAGCTGGGGAGCTACGTGCTGACATGGGTGTCCCTGTCCGGGCTGTAAGTTCCAGATGTGGGAGGCATGTGAGGTGCGCTGAGAGCAAAGCTGGAAGCAGAAGTTTTCTCCCTTTTCCTGTTGGGGCTCTAGAAGGAACCTACCCTTGTGAGTAGGCAGAGAGGCTGAGTTGGCACTTCCAAGCTGCCCGCAGCTCTCACGTGGCATGGGAGGAACTCAGAAGTTCCCGTATGTATGCCCTTGAAGGGGTCACAGCCCTGTCATGACAATACTTTTGGACATGTTGGATTAAATCAAATATATGATTTAAATGAATCTCACATGTTTCTTTTATAATGCGGCTACTAGGAAATGTACAATTACCCATGTGGTTTGCATTTGTGGTTCGCATTATATTTCTCTTGGACAGTGCTGCTCTAGAGGAAGTGGGGAAGTGAGAAAATCTGAAGGACTGAGTCATTGAAAAAGAAATGTAGCTAACCTAAAGACACTGTTTCATTTCTTGGCTCCAATTTAGTTTATAAGACTGGACTAACTTCAGTAGATGTTTCCTACTACCCAGTGGTATTGAATTTGTGAAGAAGTGGATTCAGTTTTATAAAATAAAGAAGCCACATTTTCAGGGCTTGCGTGATGGGAAATTTTGTGTTAAAATAAAGGAATCGGAGGACTCAAGGACACCTAGGTAGTTGGAGGCATCTAATTCTAATTATAGAATACATGATCTTGGGAGGTGGTGAGTTCAGTGTTGTCGAAAGTTTTCACATGTTCTAATCCCAGTATAAAGATTAAAAACATATAAATAGGGCACATCAGCACACTCAGTTCTATTCCCGGCTTTTTTCCTCCTCTGTTACCTGGAGTTTGATGGAAATGACTTCAGTATGAAAGAGATGTATAGTGCTGTGAACTTGCGAGAGGGGCATGCGATGCCATTGAGTGGGAGGCATTTTCTAACCTTGATCCAGGAGAAGGGATCCTTGGTGCTCCAGGCATTGATTGATCCAGAGTGATGAAGTCTGGCCAGCTTTGGGGCCCACTGTCCTTTGCCCAAGAAAGGGGAGAGAGGTTAGCTTCAGCTGGGTTGGTTCTAGGCACCTGGGAATGAAATTACTCCTGAGAAAGGCTAATCCTAGCTGTGAAGAAGATAAAGGCAGAAAGCACAATACTATCAATGACTACCTAAGTGTTTGCTTGCCCTTGTCCATTTTATTTTCTAAAATTTAATAATTTTTTACTGTTAGCACCTCTAATTAGCTGATACTGATATGTGTTACCAGCACTGCCAAATAATATTATTATTTCCTTGTTACACAATGTATGTTCATTGTAGACAAATTAGAAAATCGAAAATAAAAATATAACGTAAGTAAAAAGAAAAAAAGAAAAAAATTACCTTTCTGCCCAGAGAAAAATAATGCTACTTTGGTATATAACTCTCAAGCCTCTGTTTCACAGTTATTTTTTTTCCCTCTAAAGCAGGGTTTGGCAAACTTTCTTCTGTAAAGGGCCAGATAGTCATTAATTGAAGCTTTGCGGATCATCTGGTCTCTGTTGTAACCACTTAATTGCTGTTGTAGCGTGAAAGCAGCCATATGATTATACATGAGTGGGTGTGGCTATGTGCCAATATAAGATTTTATGTATGGACACTGAAATTGGAAGTTCGTATAATTTTCATGTCATGAGATATTATTTGCTCCCCAACCTCCCATCATTTAAAAATAGAAAAATGGTTCTTAGCTTGACGGCCATACAAAAACAGGTTATGGGCTGGATTTGGCATGCAGCCTGTAGTTTGCCGACTCCTGCTCTAAAACAGTGTTTGAGAACTCTCTGTGGATTTTAGTCAAGCTTAACTGTCACTGCTCACAGAAAAGTGTAGCTTCCTGTTACAGTGAAGAGAATAGACTCCAGTGTGGGGGGCAGTATGGAAGGAAGGCAGCACATATAAGGAGGCAGTGGCATTGCCCGGGTTTGAAGTGAGGATGGCCTGAATTAAGGTGGTCACAGTGGGAAATGAAGAGAAAATAGATTTGAGATCACCTATGGACTAGAATTCATAGAAGCATGGAGATGAATTGTTATCTGAATCTCTCCAACAAAAGTAAAAAATATATAATCAGCCCTGTTCTTGGAGAGAAAATAATAGTACTTACCATATTGTCCTGAAGCTGTAATCTGAAAATCTCTAATGCGTCCAGAAGCCATTCCCAGAGGGGTCTGACACTCTGAAATCAAATGAGGGGAACACAATAGCTAGAAGTGCAGAAATTTAGCTTCGCAAATGTAAGTCAATGAAAATGGGAGAATACCAACAAATGCTCCTTTTTTAAAAGTGTTTACTCTATGTCAAGAACTGTACTAAATATTTTATTGTACTATCTCATTTCATTCACCCCAACAGGTAGGTGCTGGAACTATTCACATTTTTCAGCTGAGGAAATGGGTCCATACGTAAGTACACCAGTGGTTCTTTTACTTGTTTAGGGATAAATCTCAAACTCTTCCAAGAGTTCTTAATTGAACCAAAATTAAGTTTCAAAATTTGTTCTTGGAGATCTTGGAACTTCACAAAGTTGTGAAAATGAAGAGATTTTTTTTGCATCAGTTTGTTAAATATTTAGAGCTTCAGGTTCAAAGTGTTCAGAGCTTCAAACATATCTGCCCTCCTCTGAGGACTCTGATGGTTTCTACCAGCAATGTTCATTTCAGATTTGATAATGACTGTGAACTTGTATTTATTTCTTGATAAAGGCAACCATTCTAGGAAGGGGAAAAGCTGTACAGATGCAGGCTAGGTAGGCAGAGGGCCCGTGCCCACATTGCTACTCACCCTTGCTGTACACCAGGAAAAGAGTGCTCATCCCAGCCTGTAGGTGTTCACCAATAAGGCATTCTATCCGCCAGATTCCAGCTTTGGATGGCAGCATTTCCACTGTCTCAAAAACACCTTATCAAAAACAAAAGGAACAAAAGTGATTTCTTTTCACTAAAAAGATGAACATGAGATACATTGGCTTATACAGACTATTAAAGGAAAGCTACCTAAATCAGTTCCACTACTCTTGGACCCTTGAAACCTAAAGTGCTTGTTATGTGACCCCCACAGTTGGAGCCACTAGAGACTGACTTCTGACAGCCCCTCGCCACCTCCGCACCCCCTGGGAAATGGGGAGACAGGGTGATGGAATGCTTTGGTGTAGAGACAGGAGAAAGCTCTTGCGTTAGGACTGGCCTACACTCTTAGGGTTTGTCATGGTCAAAGGTGTATTTCTCAGTGACTGGATATGGGCTCTTTGGGAGAGGAAATTCTGGGTGAGGTCCTCATGGATCCAGTCCACTGGGGCTGCCTTGAGGGCTAAAGTAACTCCAGCAGCAAAAAACTGGAGGTGAATTCTGGGGGCTGAGGAATGACCAATCACCTGGAGTAAAGCTAGAACCGGCCAGGTCAGGGGATTTTTCATGAGAGAGGGTCCCAAAAGGAGTCTCTGAAGATCCCCTCAAAGTACCCCCAAGAAGAGCCAGCTTTCAGTATCTGCCAGGTGCACAGTGTGAAGCTAGCTGACAGCAGTGGTGCCAGTTGTAAGGAGGCAACCGTCCTGTCCCTTACCTGTGCCCTCTCCAAGCTGGAGTCAAAGCAACAGCCAGCAGGAAGTTGGGAGAAGCACAAGAAGCAGAAGGTAGCGAAACATAGCACTCAGCCGTGTCTCCCTTTCCCAGAGCAGGCTCCCAGCCTGGCACAGGCTCAGGTTGGGGGAGGAGAGGTCAGAGTCAAATCAAGTTCAGAATTTGTATTAATATCTTAGAGTGGACATTGCAATTTCTGACAAACTATATTGTGATGCGAAGTGACCACAGGACTGTTGTGTTTTTGGCAACAACGTGAGTAGTGCTTCTGCAGCATTCTATTGGGTTGTCAGAAAAGTCATGACACGTTTTTGCAATGAAAAACAGAAAAAATACGTCATGACTTTTCCGACAACCCAATAGTTACAGACAGAAATCACTCTTGGGTACACTACTGGTGCCATGCGGGATTTGAGATGGGAGAAAATCCCTTTTTTCCTAGGAAAGTGCTCCAACATTAATGATCCCTTTATAGCACATTATGTGTTTCTGAAATTATCACGTTCATTTGCTAATTTATTTATTATCTCTCTGTAGGGTAAGGTCACTTGAAAAAGTAAGTTACCCTGGAACAGGGAATTTGTCTGCTTTGTTTGTATCCCCAGTGCCTAGACCATTTCAAGTACTCAGCAAGTACAGTTAGGTAGAAGAGAGAGCACAAACCAGCTGCTACCTGGATAGAGGTTGTAGACCGCCATTTTATACTCCTCTTTCTTCCGTACAGTGAATACATGTCCACTGAAATGAATGGAATGGATGTTTTCATTGCTGCCCATGCTGAGCAGATACCATCGAATCCTTTGATCCTGAGCCATTACTAAGCCAGGTAGAGTATCCATGACATAGCCATTGATTGCTGGGGAGGGACAACATGGAGAAGGCTGTTAAAATCTGTAGAAGTTTCTTTTCCTCCACTCCAGTAAAAAATACTGATTCCTATGAGGACCCCACACCCGTACATATACTCTTAATTTATGCTATGTCCAAACCTCGGGTTCAGGGCTCATTTGCCGCAGTGTGTGCTGCATTTCACAGTGAGTGATTTGTGGGTGGGGGATATATTACCATGAAAGCGATAACTTTCTTTAAAAGCAGGGTCCTCCATCTGGATATTGCAGGGAGCTCTGCAGTTCCTTTCCACGTTTTCAGTGAAGTACCAGCTCTTGGTCTCATCAAAAATAGTGAAAAACAGAGCAAATTCCTGCACTGTCATTTGTCTCCCATGAGCAGGGTTCAGTGTGTTCGTGCGGCAGATCAGAAGGGGTCCAATCAGGCCTGAGTGCATGTCTCTTTCCTGAGAGGGAAGACATGGGTCCTGTGAGTAGAAGCGCCCTCACCTATGAACCACAGTGGATTTCCCATCAGCCTTTATGCCACTCCACCCCACTCCCGTCTTCCCAGAGTACAATTCATCCTCTTCAGTGGATTCCACAGTGATATTTCTAAAACACAAACATGGTGCCATGTCCCCTGTTTAAACTTCCCATTGTGCGTAGGGTAAATACCAACATTCTCAGCAGATACTGCAAAGACCATTTCTTTTCGCACAGTGCTTACCAGATCGACATCAGAAAAATAAGCCCAGGCTTTGCAGTCGAACTCATCTTTACTGGGTGCCATATGATGTTGTACTTTCCAGAAGTAAACTTTTGTTTCATTAGGTTTGACAAACTTTTTTCTAGGTTCTGCTCCTTGCCTCTGATCTTCCTCATAAGAAATAAGGCTAGAATAGAAGGAGTAGGGACGAGATGCCTGGTTTTTGAAAGTTACCTGCAGGGGGAAAAGAAAAAGAAGACAAGTATCTTAGAGTTGACATCCTGAACAGTAATGCCGATTCGGGGGGTTTATCCAAGTTCTAATACCCAGAGGAAGTGGTACAGAGGATGCATGTTGTTGGAACCCAAACCTAAAGATCTATACAGGAGACTCTGAGGAGTTTTTGAATTAAAAAAAGCTTATGGCATGCACTCAAAAGGTGCAAAGGAGAAAATTCCTAAACATTTAAAAGCAATTCCAAAGTAAAGGGAAAATATCCCACAGGGGTTTTAAGAGACCATAATCCTGGTAGTTGATACTTAAGGTAAGTTTCTTTATGACAAATTTCAGGATGAATGCATATGATCTTTAAAAAAGAATAGTTTTCATATTTGAAAAAATCATACATGTTTCATAGGACATATGGAAAATAAAATAAAAATCAAGGAAGAAAAAAATTCACTTACAATCCCATAATTTTAGATCCTTCTATATCCCTAATGTAAACAATCAATTGGGACAATGAATGACTACTTTTGGTAAAAAATAAAACTACTTTGATCTTTGGCTCACAAAATGCAGCAAAAAAATTCTAGCCTAGAGAAATTGCTGATGGATTAAAAAATTAAATGTTAAAATATTGAACTGTAAAAGAAAGTTGAAGAAAGTATAGCTGATTTTAAGAAAAAAAATCTCTATAGGGAAGGATTTTTATAAACATAAATGCTATGAAAGTATCATAAAGGAAAGATTTATAGATTACTTTCTAAAATATCAAATCTGTTTTTATTTAAAAACCACTATATGTAAAATTAAGAGAGAACAAACTTGGAAAAATACTAGTCACTAAATGATCAATGGTCATTAATAAATCAATGGTCTATACTATATGAGGTAATATAAATAATAAGAAAAACACTCCCTCCAAAAATGTCAAATGTGCAAAGGACATTAACAGATAATTCATTAGAGAACATCTTAAATGTTCATGTACATTGCACTTTTAGAATTTTATCCTAGGAAAAGACTTGTGATTGTAGCATTATTTAAATGGTGAAAAAATGAACTATCTAAAAGGTTGTTCAATGTAAATGGTTAAGTAAACCATAAATTCATGTAATAAACTATTAAGCCATCATTTTAAAAAAGATATTTAGGAAGTGTTCTTAATAACATAAGAAATGTTTATGACATGATATTTAGTCAAAAAAGAAGTAAAATTATACATTGTATAATTTTGAATACATACAGTGAAGAATACATAGGAAAAAGATAAGAACATACACTGAAATGATAATTGAGATTTTTCTCAACTTCTTCATTTCCTATACTTTAAACATTTTCAAAAGTGAGAATACATTATTTTTATGATCAGAAACAAAAAGAATATACAGGGCTAATTTTCTTGTAATTCCATTGTCCTCAGCTCACCATGATAGTGTCTTCAACTTCTGCTCTTATACATGGCCCCAAGAGTCCCAGGTGCTCATTTAGTTCTCCACGGTATAAGGGCTGAGTGAAGGAACCATCAGTGAATTCCTGGAAAACCACCTTCTTGAACTGAGGGACACTTCTACTCTGAGCCCTGAAGAAAAAAAGCAGAGGAAAAGCAACATCCTCATGGACCCAGTACATAGAAACTCCTCACAGTCTTACCTTCTCCATATTTAAGATATATTTAGTAGAATTGATTATGAATTGGAAGTGTAAGGGGCAGAGGAAAGAGGGATTAAAGACAACTTTCAGGTTCCTGATTTGGGCAAATGGATGGATGGTGATGAAACTCACTGAGATAGGGAACCCTAGAGGAGGAGTTGGTTGGGGTATACAGTTTTGGATACACGGGACATCTATGTGAATTAAACTGACATACTCGGAGGTTGGGAGTTGACCAAAGAGGTCTAGATAAACATCATCCATATTTAGATGGTATCCAAATCGTGTGAGTGGCTTATCAAAGCCAATAGTCAATTTTCTTATGTCCTCACCTTACTCGACATCTAAGCAACGTTTGCATGGTTAACCCCTCCATCCTCCTTGACATACTCTCTCTGGGCTTCACTGGAGTGTAAGCTCCATGAAAGCAGGGAAGAACCATTTGTTGAATGTTGAATGGATGTGGGGTTTATCAACATATTCTAAATATAAGAGAGCACCAGGATGCAGTCCTTGGACCTCTTTTCTTTAAAAAAAAATCTGTGAAAAATGTGAATTACAACTGTACCGTAAAGTGTATAAAACAGAAATGCTTTTGGTAGGAAGATGCAACCACCATCCGGATCCACAACTTTGCTGGCAACCCAGAAGGCTCACTGTACGTCCCTTTCCAATCACATCCCCTCCTTCCCCACCAAAAGTAACTACGATTCTGATGTTTATGATAATTATTTATTTGCTTTTCTGCACAACTATACTACTATGTACACATCCCTAGAGAGCATAGTTCAGTTTTTCCTGTTTTTGAAGTATGTACATGGAACCATATTGTATACGTTCTTTTGTTTCTGGCTTCTTTCACTCAGCATTATGGTTGTGATTCAACTACGTTGTGTGAGCTATAGTTTGTTCATTCCCATTGCTATAGAGTATTCCACTGTGTGCATGCCCCTCAGTCATGAACATTCAAGTTGTTTCTGATTTTTGGTACTTCCACGAAGGCCTGCTATGAACCTTTGTCTGCACGTCTTTTGGTGAACACATAGTTGCATTTCTGTTGGGCACACAGCTAGGACTGGAATTTCTGGGTATGCATATATTCAGCTTTCTGCACCGTTTTCCATTTTCATTTAATCCAAATCTTCACAAACACTTGATGTTGACTGTGTTTTTACATTTTGGGCCATTCTAGTCGTTGCATAGCAGCATGCCTGTGGTTTTATTTTGCATTTCCCTGATTAATAATGAAGTTGAGCGTCTTTCCTTTTAAGTAGTAGCCATTTGGATTTTATCTTTTGTGGAATGCCTATCCAAGCTTGGTTTGTTTGTTTGTTTGCCAATTTCCCTATTGGGTAATCTGCTTTTTTCTTGTTGATTCAAAAGAGTACTATATACAGTCTTGATATGAATACTTTGTTGGCCTTTTGTGCTGCAAACATCTTCTCCTATGCTGTGACTAGTCTTAATTCTTTTTTTCTTATCTTTTGATGATTATAAGTTCATAGTTTTAATGTTGTAAAATTTATCAAAAATCCTCCATGTTTACTGCTTTTTCTATTGTTTGTTTGTTTGTTTGTTTTTTTAGCTAAGCCATCCTGCTACCTATTGGCAGCTTAGTGGCAGCTCAGCTTGGGCTGGGCATCGAACCGCTGTTGCTCAGAGCTCAAACTCTGTGTTTTTTTTTTTTTTAGATTTTTATTGGGGAATTGGGGGGATGGGAACAGTGCTGGGGAATTGGGGGAAGGGGAACAGACAAGTTGCTGTCGTTTTGTTCTTCAATCTAGTTGTGGAGGATGTTGCTTCACTGGCCCAAGTTGGCACCATCATTGCGCTCTTCTCTGGCGAGGCAGATCAGTCGCCGGCTTCTGGACGGCCGCTCACTGCGGCTGTTGGCCGCTCACGCTGGCTGCTGACTACACACGGTAGCCCATGGCAACCCACTGCCACAGGGAGTGCAGCCTACGCTGTCGCCGGCGACTCATGGCAGCCCAGCTCCAGGTTGAGCTGTCGTTCAGCATCTTAGCTGTGGAGGGCAGTGTCACTGGCCCTCATATGTGGGATCCGAACTGGGGCCCTCTGGCATCCCAAGCGAGTTCTTAACCATCGCGCCACTCGGCCGGCCCCTCAGAGCTCAAACTCTTGAGCGAGCTCCTAACCAACTGAGCCAGTCGGCCGGCCCTGCTTTTTGTATTTTGATGTCAAATCTTTTTCCCCCGCAACTCTGAAGTTATTAAGATATTGGCTTATTTTTTTCTTCTAAAAGATTTATGGTTTTTATGTTTATGTTTGGCCCTGTAACCCAATGTGAGTGGATTTTTGTATACAGTGTGAGTTAGGGATCCAATTTAATGTTTTTCCATACGGGCATCAAAAATTCCTGGCACCTTTTATTGAAAATTGCTTTTCTACAACATGTTTGTCATAAATCAAGTGTCTTATATGTGTGTCTATTTTTGGATTTTCTATTATTTTTCATTGACCTCTTTGTTTACTCCAATGCCAACTATCACACTTTGGGTACTGCAGCTTTAAAATAAGTTGCAATATGTTATACAACAATTCCCCCCACGTCACTCTTCTTCTTTAAGAGGGACTTGGCTATTCGGGCCCTTTGTATTTTAAAATTAGCTTGTTGAGTTGTTCAAGGAAAAAGACTTGAGGTTTTCCTTTGGGTTGTGTTGAATCTGTAGATCAGTTTGGGGATAAGTTACATTTTCACTGTATTAAGTTTTCCAGCCCATGTACATGGTACATCTTGGCATTTATTTAGACCTTCTTTAAAGTTTCCCATTAAATTTCCAGTTTTTTTCCGTAGAGATCTTGAAAATTTTTTGTTATACCTATTGGTAGGTTATTTGACTATTTTATTCCATTGTAAATGGCATATGCATTTAATTTTATTTTCTACCTGTTTGCTGCTATTATACTCGTAAATACAGTTATCTTTTGTATATTGATTTTGAATTCCACAAACCTGCTAATCTTAGTTAATTCTAATTATTTATTTGTAGATATTTTTCTATGTACACAATTCGTATCATCTGTAATCAAGGACTGTTTTGATTCTCCCTTTGCAACCTTTATACCTTTGATATCTTTTTATTGCTTTAATGTGCTGGTTAGCACTCTCAGTACAGAATTGAGTAGAAGTGGTCATAATGAGGGATGACAGCTTGTTCCTGATCTCCAAAAGAAAGTGGTCAATGGGTCAGCATAAATAGAATGTTGGTAGACATTTTTGTAGATACTCTTTCGCAGGATAAGGGAATTCCTGTCTATTGTAATTTGCTAAAAGTTTTAAAATCGTGCATGGATGCTAAATTTTAAGCAAACACTTTTCATATAATGAGAGGGTTATATGTTTGTTCTACTTTATCTTGTGAATGTGACAGATTACAATGTTTTTTTTGTTTTGTTTTTAAAAGATTTTACTGGGGAATTGGGGAAGGGGAACAGCATTGGGGAATTGGGGAAGGTGAACAAACAAGTTGCTGTCCTTTTGTTCTTCAGTCTAGTTGTGGAGGACGTTGCTTCAATGGCCCATATTAGTATTATTATTGTGCTCTTCCCAGGTGCGGCAGTCACACGCTGGCCACTGGACAGCTGCTCACGGAGGCTCCCAAAAGCTCACGCCAGCTGCCGGCCAGCCCCACTGCAGCCTACGCCATTGCTGGCAACTCAGGGCAGCCCAGCTCCAGTTCAAGCTGTTGTTCACCATCTTAGCTGTAGAGGGCGCAGTGTCACTGGCCTTCATGTGGGATCCGAACTGGGGTCCTGCTGCTCAGAGTTGGCGTCCCAAGCCAACTCTTAACCAGCGTGCCACTCGGCTGGCCCTACAATGGTTTTTAAAAATGTTAACCCAAACTTGTAATCCAGAGATTACATCGACATATTTGTCTATCCTTGTATCAGTGCCACGCTTGATTAATTACTGTAGCTTTACAATAACTCCTGATATCTGGCAGTGTGATTCTTTCCTCTGCAAGATTTCTCTCTTTGCACCGCCTTAGCTACATATCACAAGTTTCAATACGTCATATTTACATTTAATTAAAATATTTCTAATTTCCATCATAATTTCTTCTCTGACAAACAGATTATTTAGAAGTGTGTTGCTTAATTTCCAGTTAACCTTCTCACTGATGTTTAATTTATTAGAGAACATATTTTATATGTTTTCAATCCATTAAAATCTCTCGTTTTGTGGCATAGCATAGTGTATACTTTATTAAATGTTCCATGTGAACTTGAAAACATGTTAAACCTGTAACTGGTGATTTGCTTCATTAATCATGTTCAAATCTTCTATATCCTTATTGATGTTTGGGTCTGTTCTTTCGGTTACTTCAAAATATGATTACGAATTATATTTTTCTCTGTTTATCTTTTTATCTGTTTCTCTATTTAATTCTGTCAAGTTTTGCTTTATGTATTTTGAAGCTATATTATTACAATCAGGTTAATACAAATTTTAGAAAGTTATGTCTGCCTATTGAATTGACTGTTTTATTATTATAACATTTCCACTTTATCTCTAGAAACCTCTTTAAATTTACTTGCAACGTAATTGAGTCTTTATATTTTAAGTGTGTCTATTATAAATGGTACATAGTTTTGGTCTGTGGTCACCATGAGGTTCATATCTATCCATCTTTATCTATAGCACTCTATTTTTAGCTGATAGGCATTTAAGTTCTAGCACATTCTAAAAGCACTACATTTTTACTTCCCCCCTTCATGCTTTATTTTTTGACATATTTCATATGTTTTAATTTTGTGCTTTCCTTGACTATTTATTGTAGTTATAGTTAATTTTGCTACTTTTGTTTTTTAACCTTCATATTAGCTTTTTAAGTGGTTGATTTATTGTGTTTAGTATATATATTTGTCTTTACCACTGGGACTCTTTTTCCCTGGATTTTCTTATTTCTGGCTTGGGCCTTTTGTTCCCCTGCATTGAACATTTCTTGTAAAACTGGTTTTAATGGTGGTGAAGTCCTTTTGTTTTTGCTGGTCTGCATCCATCATTTATTTACTAGTTCATTCAACAGATATTTATGTAAGTATCTATCACATGCCAGGCACTGTTCAAGGTTCTGGGGATGTGCCAATGAACAACACCTTCAAAGTTTGTGCTCCCAATGAGCTTACCTTCTAGTTGGGGAAGATAGGCAATAAAGAAATAAACGTATAATATTTCAGGTGCCAGTAAGTGCATTGAGAAAGAGTGATGGGAGCTATACATACATACAGTGTTCAGGGAAAGCCTCACTGATAATGAGGAATTTGAGCAGCACCCTGAAAGCAGTGAGAGAATTAACATTTGGCTCTCAGGGGAAGAGAATTCCAAGCAGAGAACAGAAAGTGCAAAGGCCTAGAGACAGGCACCTACTCGTTCCATTTGAGGAAGAGCAGTGAGGCCAGGGTAGTTGGAGCAGAGTGAGTGGGAAGAGCAGAAAGAGATGAGAGCGGAGAAGCTTTAGAAGGTCACATCTCAGAGACTTGAAGGCCAGGTGAGGGCTTTGGAGTTTATGTAGAAGGAGATGGAAATGCACCGGGGGATTTGGAGCAGACAACAGTAATTACAATTACAATTTGAAAAATGAGCCGCTATGTTGGGAAAAGACTGTATGAGGGGCAAGGCTGGAAGCTGAAAGGCCAGTTAAGAGGCTATCACAGTGATTTGGGTGAAAACTGATTATGGTTTTTACTAGATCGTAGCCACTGAGATGCAGAGAAGTAGCTGGATTGTGTGTGTGCACGTGTGTGTGTGTGTATAGAAATTATTTTATTATTTTAAATAGATTTTTGTTATCATGGATGCAGTACATATGCACTGTAGAAAATTTGAAAATATAGACAAATCTCTAAAATTAAAAACATTACTTTTACACCATCTAGAGTAATCCTTTATTATATGTCTTCTCTTGTTTTGTAAACTGTTTTATTTTCCTAGTCAACAATCTTCAACTTTCCATTTCAGTGCATTCTCATCTTGTGCAGTACTCAGTTCATAATCAAATTCTGGTTATTTTTTGAAGTCATGGTCAACAGGGTTTTTTCGGTGGATTAGATGTGGTTGTGAGAGTAAAAGAGGAGTTAGGAGTCACTTCAAGTTTTGGAGTCTGAGTAGCTGAAAGGAAGGAATGGTCATTGACTACCATGAAGAAGGCTGGGCAAACAGCAGGTTTGGGGAAGGTGCAGAAATTAAGAGTCTAATTTTCTACATGTTAAGGTAGGGAGTTAATGTGCAAATCTCAAGGTCAAGGAAGAGATCTGAGATGGAGCTATACAACTGGAAATTGCATATAGATAATACTTAAAACCATAAGAGTAGATAGAGCATCACAACGTTGAGTGTAAACAAAAAAGAGGAGAGTTTGGAGAACTAATGCCCAGAGCAGTCTAACATTTAAAGGTTAGGGAGGTGAAGAACCAGCAAAGTTGGCAGGGAAAGATTGGCAGTGAGTTTAGAAAAATGAAAGAATAGTGGTGTCAGAGAGACCCAGTGAGGACATGTGTAAAGGATGGAGTAATCAACTACCAAATACTACTGAGAGTTCAACTAAGATGAGGACTGAGATTTAGGAATGTAAAGAACAACTGTGACCTTGAAAATGTAGTATTTATGGAATAATGGAGGTAAAAGCCGCTTGGAGTGGCTTAAAGAAAGAGGAAGAGAAAAAGAAGCATAGGTAGCAAGTAGGGGAAATCTTAAAATGTTTTCTGAAAAGATAAGGAGAGAAATTCTATAGCATGATTGATACTGATGAGGCTAACACAGTGGAGAGGGAGAAACTGGTGATGTAAGAGAGAAAAGGGGAATTTCTGAAGCAACATTTTTTATGAGGTGAGAAAGGATGGGCTCAAGTGCAAAACTAGAGAGGTTGGCTTTAGGAGTACAGGCCGTCCATTTATTGTCATGAGCATGAAGACAGTATATGGGTACAGATGTCAGTATGTGTGGTTTTGGATGTCTGTGGAGGGTCATTGCACCAGCTGAGAGTGAGAAGGGGTGTTGGAGATTTAGGAAAAAGGCGGAAAATGCAAGAGAGAGGTCCAGGAGAGTGGGAAAGTCAGTGGGCTGGGGAAACAGTCTGGTTGCTGTGCAGCCATCGGGGCGCACTTGAGGTGGAAAGCAAGGTTGGGAAGTGACCATGAGTAATGGAGAGGGCACCTGTATGACCTGAACACCGCTCATGTCTGTCACCTCATTTCCCACCACCTGCCCCACCCCCAGCCAAGTTCTTCACCTTACTGTAGTCAGGCTGGTCCTTTTGCGTTCCTCAGACATGCTAAGCATGTTGTATTCTCAGGGCCTTTGCATTTCCTGTTCCCTCGGCCTGGAAATATCTCTCAGAGCTCTGTCAGCTGGCTTCTTATCAACTCCACAAAGAGGACTTCTCTGACCACCACAGCTAACGTAATGCCCCCAGTCACTCTCTACCATATTATTCGATTCTATCTTCTGGACAGCACCACCAAGAGTCTCCTATTCATTTTTCTACTCATTTATCATGTCTTACTCTCCCCAATAGAATGTAAGCTCCGACTTTGCACTGATGTCTACAAAAGTGTCTGACATGTCACAGGTGCCCAATAAATATTTGTTGACTAATTGCCTCTCCTGTGTTCACCTTTCAAATTTTTTTTTAGCTGAGCCATCCTGCCACCTGTTGGCAGCTCAGCAGCAGCTCAGTTTGGGCCGGGCATCAAACTGCTGTAGCTCAGAGCTCAAACCCTTGAGCGAGCACTTAACCAACTGAGCCACTCGGCCGGCCTCCATCTTTCAAATTTCTCAGTGCTTTCTCTCCCCTGTCCACCCTCCCTCTGCTCCCCTAACAATCAAGCCCTCCCACTTTGCCCGCTGTACCCCCAGTACCATGGAAAACAACTTTCCCTGCATCCTCAGCCTTTTTACCACACACTTCACTTCTCCTCCTGCCTCTTCAGGGCTCTGTCATGGGCTATGTCTCCTACTGCAGCTCATAAGGCTGCTACGTAGGGCTGACTTTCTTCCTGCTCTTGACTCTGACTCCTCTATCCCTTTGGAAGCCCCTCTTCTCCTCCTTCACCCCCCTCCCCGCCCCCTGCCCAGAGTAAGCGCTTCATGCCATCTGGATTTATCATCCTCTAACTCTCACTGTTGGTGCCATCATCTAACCTCCATTTACTCCTCAGCTTCATCTAGACTTTGCCATCTGGTTCTCACTTTTATAAAGCAACCTTTGGAGCCCCAGTGCTGCAGATTGGCTATACCTTTTTCTATTGTTTCGGCAGCTGGTAAAGTCAAAGGTCACAATAGCAGGACAAAGGGATAATCAATGTACCCATACCTGTTCCTTGGTGCATACGGGGATTGACTCATTCCGTAATCCCAGAGCCGCTCCACTGCAGCAATAAAATAGTGTCGTGTTGTCTTTTGAAAGCTGCGGGGGCCCTGGTTTTCATCCTCACCATAAATGTCAAAATCTTCTTTCTTCGTTTCAGTTGAGAAGATATCATCATAGTCAGCTTTGTCTTCCTCTGGCTGAGGCGTAGTAAGGGTTATTTCCCTTTGATGGCGCTCCAAGACTGGTGGGCTTTGAAAGTACAACCTTCCAGTCCCCGCTGGCTCTGCCCAGGTGGCTTCTCTTTGGGCCTGATCTTGTCCTTCATTTAGTGCCGGTGTTGAATGATTGTTTTCGCAGGGCTCTAGGGGTGAAATGGTGTCTTTTGTCTTAGCAGCTATGTCTTTTTGTGACTTCTTTTGGGATTTCCACTCTTCTCTTGGTGTCTGGGTAGCATACTGACTCTCCCAAGCGGGAGGATCCAGCAGCTTGGAGGGAGTCTTTTCAGAGCTTTCGGTTGCCCATTTCAGAAAGGGCACTTTTCCAGTTCTATTTACATCATTCAATTGAACGGGTTCCCGTGTTTTCTGAAGGAAGATGTCTTCGGTGAGATCCAGGTAGCCAGGAGAAGCATTCCTAGTTTTTGGAGGGAAAGAGTTTTCCTGATGAACATGAACATTGGGAAGTAATTCAACTTGGCCAGATGCTTTAGACAAGCCTGGTTTTGGGAGAACAGTGTCCTCAAGTTTCTTGTATATGAGTGGCTTTGTGGCACCTTCCCCCAGGGAGCTGATCTTTTCTTGACCTCCAATCATTTCAGAGGTTAGGAAGACTAAAGAACAATTTTTTCTGGCTCTTCGTAAGAAATGATTGCTTTCTTGGGCCCCAGAACTCCTCTCTCTAAAGGTATAACTACAGACTGATGCTAGAAGATGAGAAGAATTGTCTTGGGATGCAATCTTGGTCAGATCTGTAGGTCTAATTGACGGAAATGCTGATACCTTTGCAGCGGGTAATGCAGAGTGATCTGTTTGAATGATTCCATGCCTCCTCATAGAACCATCTAAGAGGGACCGAGTAATGGCCCCTTTTTCCTTCTCATTGTACTTTACTTGTGCGAGAGTGCCCTGGATAAAATAGTTCATTATTTTGGACCACTGGGTTGAGGTGTCATTCAAAATTCCCCCCATTTCAAGCTTTGTTTCTGCTTTCGGGAGGCTGAATTGTTTCAAAGCCCGCTTACCACGTTGGGCCATAGCATTCCGCTGACTTGGATTAGGAGATATCCATGTGGTGCTTGGATACTTTGCTACCACTGGCCTTCTTTGATTCCCCAAGCCATCCACGTTTGTTTCTGCCCTTGTTTTTGAGGAATGGGCCATGTGATTCCCTGCTCTATTTGCTGAATCATTTAATGACTTGGTATCTTGAAATATTGGAGTATATGTCTCCTCATCAAAACCATCTACATTTTGCTTAGTGCTTAGTAAGAAAAGGTTCTTCAGGAAATGTTTAGTGCCATTCACTGTATACACTTGAGGCAAGACTATGTTCTCTTGGATTAATTTTTCCTTCCTTTGAATCTCTTCCTGGGATTTTTTTTCTTGATTGTGTGTATCATTTTCTTGGACATTAGCCAAGTTAGTAAGAAATATGCTCTTGCTGTTTGGAGAAATCATTTCTTTGAGGCCTGTGTCCTTTGTAAATTCATCCTCTTCTATGACCACTGTATTGTTCTCTGACGGGAAATTCGGATCCTGCATAGATTTTTCTGATGCTAAAGATGTCGACTGCTTTGGACCAGGCCTTTGCTCAGAGCCTAGGGATTTCTTGTCATGGGTTCTTTTTATCCAATTTGCTGAATCTGGCAAGAACAGCATCTTGAAGGGTGATCTATCTGGATTTTCTGCACCTAGTGGTACAGGGCCCTCTTTTTTTTGGTGGACCATTTCCGTATGTTTTGATGAAGTACTTTTATTTGACACATGATTTAGCCCCAAAGCTGTAGTGTTTTTGTCCATAAACATTTCATCATGAATCAAAGGAGTCACTTCTTGAAACTCAGCATTACTTTTTAAAATACTGTCTTGCCAGACCGAGGTACTATTCTCAATTAATAATGTTGGGCCATCAGTGTGAGTCTTTCTATTACTTGCAGAGTTAATTGGTGACTTGTTAGTCATTACCAATGAGGTATTAGCTTGGAGTAAAGAATTACCTTTGGTCAGTGAAGCAGGTCCATGAGCTCTTTCCTCTTTAAACAGCCTCTCGCTCTTCATTGACAATATGTTTTCTCCCAGTGAACTTTCTTGACTATTCATTAAAGCTGCTTCTGACAACTTGGAACCATCATCTTCTTTCCTCAAGCCCAAAGGTCCACCAGACTTAATAAGGTGAGATGAATTGTTATCAAATACAGTGGTACCTAACTGACTACTAAGGTGAGTTGGCACATTTGAGGGTCGTAAGGAACCTGTCTTTCCAGTACCTGCTGCCAACTTTTCTGATGGAATTGTGGGTGAAGTCATTAGATAGTTTGGTAAGCTGGAAATGTTCAAATCACCTTTCTTTAACTCTACTGTTAGAGTGGTCCCCACATTCTCGTTTACTCTTAATTGCAGTTCTGGTTCAGGAGTAAATCCTCTGTCCCCACTGTTACGAAGCTCTGGTCTGAGATGTGCCCCTTCAGATGGGCCCTTGTTTCTTTCTGTTGCTCCAGGTAAATGATCATCAGCCTCATATGTGGCTTCTTGAAGATCGGATAAGGATAATCCATGTGGAGTAGGATTCTGTCCCGAGAGCATCAACAAATCACTAGAGGAGACACTTTGTACTTGAAGCAGCTGTGTTCTCTCCCCAGACAAAGGGCCAATCTTCTCTATATCATTCTCTGGAATCATAGTTGGTTTGAATTGTTTTTGCCAAGTGCTAGAGTGCCTTGTATTCTGGGAGAAGCTTCTGGGTTCAAGGACATGGTTTTCATTCAGCAAGGAAGGTGGAAGATCTTCATATATGTCTTCATAATAATCACCAGAGTTTCTGTTACAACTAGAAACCTTCAGTAAGGCAGTCATGCCTCTGTTCCGAAAATCAGAGTTGTGGCACCCCAGAACCCACACACCTGGAGATGAGGAATAATAAAACTCTGGTTACTCAAAGCCCAGGTCCCAGGTAGGTTTTGTGTTAGAGGCTCTTTCCTGTTCCCAGATAAATGAAAACATGCTAGTTGGTACCATTATATTACAGGTCATTGGGTTAAATCCATGACACATGTAACAGTAGTCTACCAATGGTAGTAAAATTGGTTTTGGTATTGCTGCTGTTGTGGTATATCTGTTTGTGACCACAAGAAAGGGCTGTGATTAAAGGTGAATAGATATTGGGATAAAAATGGCGAAATGTAAGTAACATACACAACAGTAATTGTCACTCAGAACTCTGATGGTGACAATCACTTAACTCAGGAAAGTTATATAGGTTAGCTGTTATTGCTATATAACACAGTGGCACAGCTTCTAGAGTCAGATAGCCTGGCCTCAAATCCTGCTCTTACATTTTTATTCCAAAATGAGGCACAGAAATAGAAATAAAAGGAATAGGGATTGGAAAGGAAAAACTGAAATTGTCAATATTTGCAGACAATGTGATTGCATACATACAAAACCTTGTGGAAATCTATACAATAACTGCTAGCTCTTATAAGTTAAATTTAACAAGGCTACAAGATACAAGGTCAATACCTATACAAAAATTAACTGTATTTCTTGTGTGTGTGTGTGTGTGTGTGTGTTCCAATATAACTTTATTTACCAAAACAAGTGACCAACCTGCTGACTACAATTGGGTTTTTTATTGAGATATAATTGACAGGCATCATTGTGTAAGTTTAATGTGTACAATGTGTTGATTTGATACATTTATATATTGCAATATGATGACTACCATAGCACTAGTTAGCACCTCTTTTACATTACATAGTTATAATTTCTTTTTTTGTGGAGATATGTGGTTAAAGCAGGGTGTGAAGTGAAGAATGCTATACTGATACATGCTACAACATGGATGAATCTTGAAAAATTATGCTGAGTGAAATAAGCCAGTCACCACATTACACATATTGTATTATTCTATTTATATAAAATATCCAGAAGAGGCAGATCCATAGAACAGAGAGTAGATTAGTGGGTGCCGGGGGCTGGGGAGAGGAGAGATAGGGAGTGACTTCTTAATGGTAAAGGGTTTCTTTTGGGGGTGATAAAAATATTCTGGAGTTAGATAGTGGTGATGGTTGAACAACATTGTGAATGTTCTAGAAGCCACTGAATTGTGTATGTTAAATGGTTAAAATAGTGCTTCTTATGTTATATGAATTTTACCTCAATAAAATAAACATATTGAACAGAGGAAATCATCTCTAGGGGCTTTGTTTAGCTTGAGTGTTGTAATCGATTATACTTTATTAAAATTTTTTCCTTGAGACACATAAAGCAGTTTTAATTTGTCTTTAGAATTTAAGTGATCACCAAAGTAGTTTAAGAGTCTCTTAAAATATTGATATTTTAAATATTTTTTCTCTGTGTACACATACGTACACTGTCTTTGGTTTTGATGATTGCAACCATATGATACATACTGTTTTATAATCTTTTTTACACATATTTCATTAATTCATTCATTCATTGGGAAAGTATTTATTAACCATCTACTATAGGCCAGGCGCTGTTAACAAGAGGATGTAGTGACTAGCAAGATAAACAAGGTTGCTGTCCTCAGAGCTTTTCCAACTTAATTGGAAAATGGATAACAAAGATATAAGCATAAATAAATATTTTCAGAGGTGTCAGGTACTACTTCACTCACGTCCCACAAAAATACGTTTCTTGAAGTAAGATAAGTTTCTGGGTATAGAGGTGACTACATGTTTATATGTGATGAGAGTGGTTTTTGTTCCCCAGAAATTTTCCCATGAGGATTTCTCACCAGAAAAGCTGTAAATGGAAGAGAGTACCTACAATCTGCAGGTCGTTTTACGTGCTGTCCTCTGCAAATGATGGGATGGGAGGGACCAGGAGCACGAAGAGTGGCCTAGCAGTTGTTACTCTACTGTCCGAATGCAGCAGCCACCTGTGCTGGCCTTAGGCCAGGTCAGGGTTTCTGCTGATCACAAGGCTGGC